TACATTAACGTAACTGTACTGCCGTTGACAATACATTTATGTAATTGTTCTGCTGTTCACAGTAAATTAACGTAATTTTTATTTTTTTTGCTTGATTTGTGGACAAGTTAATGTAATTATATTATTGTGGTTGACGGTAAAATAACTGTAAACACAATAATATTACAGTCAAACACATCAATATTATTAGTTTTTTGGGTTTTTTGTTTTGTTTGAGTTATTCACGGAGTAACGTAATAATATTACTGTCTATTATTGTAATATTACTGTAAACACAATAATATTTTGTGGTTGACGGTAATATTACTGTTGTTATAGTAATATTGTTGTCACCCACATCAATATTATTATTTTGTTTGGGATTTTTTTGTTTGTTTGAGTTATTCACGGAGTAACGTGATAAAATTACTGTCTATTATTGTAAAATTACTGGTGTTATAGTAATATTACTGTAACTCACAGTAATATTAATTTTTTTTGGCTTTTTAATTTGTTTACATTTGTTGAACGGTCAACATAGTAATATTATTCTATTACACAAAATAATGAGTTTTGTTGTGTTAATATTATTGTGCTAGAGATTAATATAGCAATATTACTGTGTTAAACTGTAGTATAGTTAATTTTACTGTGTTTAACAGTAATATAGTTAATATTACTGTCAATCACAAGGAAAAGGGACTCCTACCTAATCTATAATAAGCAAACTTATAAATACGCAAGTCCTAACCATAAAACACTCTAAAATAATAAAAACATAATAAATCTTAAATTAAAAACGTGCATAAATAAATTAGATAACTTGATCTTCAAGTCGACTTCTCGATCACCCTTCTTAACTCGCGTAGACAATTGCTTGTGCACGTGCAAGAACTTGAAGCTCGATTTATGCCATCTTCCACTCCGAATATCTCTGCCCAAAACACGAAAGGTATAGATCTTTCAGTTTAATTCAAAATAAATTTGAATCACCTTAAATGAATATTATTCTTCCAAACAGTAATATTATTAATATTATTAAAACACATGGTCAATGTGCTTATTGGTTAAAGGGATGAGCTTATTGGCGTAAGAGATATAGCCCCAAACCTAGAATAATAAAGATGGTTAGTTGATCATGAACTGATGTACGAAAACCCCATATTTTCAAATACGGCAAAAATGAAACAATTAATGCAAACTCATTTTCAAGTAATCACCAAATACAACAAATTGCGAAAAGGCCCATAAGGGGCACTTAATTAGAAAAGATTCATCCTACTTTTATGTTTTGAAAATATATCGACTCCATTTAAATTTATTTCTAATTAGGGATATCTTATTTTTTTGTCTTTTATTTATACCAAACTTGCCCCAAACTCATTGAAACCATAATTCAACTCCAATTTCACGATTTAAACTATAATTTAGCCTGAATTTCACCAATTAGTCAATTTTGAGCGCCACCACTAGTTAGCCGTCGTTCACTTTTTTTTCAAACTTTTCTTTTTTGCCTAATAATAATAATAATAATAATAATAATAATAATAATAATAATAATAATAATAATAATAATAATAATAATAATAATAATAATAATAATAATAATAATAATAATAATAATAATAATAATAATAATAATAATAATAATAATAATAATAATTGGGAAAATAATATTATTGTTTGGGAGAATAGTATTAGTAATATTTTTATTTTAATATTAATATTAATATTATGGTTTTGGCCTACAATATTAATGTGTTAATATTAATACCTTAGCCCGCGCGAGAGACTTTTAGGCCAGCAGTGAATGTTTTGGCCTTCAATATTAGTGAGATTGTTAACACAGAGTTGGGGGGTGGGTGGTGGGGGGGGACTGGGCGGTCAATGCCGGCTATCGGCTGGGAAAAGAAATTCAGAAAAAAAAAGTTTTCAAAAAAAAAAATCAAATGCCGGAATCTGGAAGGAAAAAAAATATTTTGTGAAGAAAAGTAAAATCAAAACTTCTCATCCAAACTGACTCATTGGTTTTAATATGTAATCTTAGCAGGTATGAACTACTGCACAAGGATCTTCACTCACTCCTTCAGGAGTTGTGGAGGATATTGACTGAATTCGAGGTTGTGAAACTGAGTTTAGATACAGAGAGATCAATGGCGCAGCTGACTTTTCGGCAAAATTTGAGCTATTATGATCAATGATACTATGCTTACTTTTGATACTTGCCCTACTTTTTTTAACAATATAGTATATAATGATTGTAATAGTATGTACCATCAGGCATGTAAAACTGCTCTTTGTACCAAAATTCTTATTTTGAAAACCTGATACAATAGTTTGTTTGCCTATTCAAAAAAAAAAAAAAAAAAAAAATCTTTCCTCTTATCCATAAAGAAGTTTCTTCAACTAGAAGTGTAAGAAAACTCTCATTCTTCTTCTTCCTTTTCAATTTCAAAAATCCCCCAAAGTTTTCTTCTATTTTTTTGTAATTTGTTAAAGGTTTTTGTAGTGGGTTATTCAATCCGTAAATTTCTTCATATTACTAAGAGAAACTAGATGATAATTCCGTGTTCTTGCTACAAGTGATTCAACACCAATATTACTATATTACTCTCTTGTGTTTTCCTCTTCTTCTTTCTTAATTCTTGATGGCCGAAAATTTGGGAAAATATTGGATTCTCTTTAAGTGTTGTTTAAGGATGCATGCATGTAAAGGTCCAGACTTAAAATGGTGAAATCTTGAAGAAATTAAAAGTTATGTAATATATTCTAATTTCTTGATTTTAAAGCTTAGATGGTAAGAATAAATGGTGGTTATGGATAATATATATGCAGTTTAATAGGAGAATTACACTTTTCGTCCATAATGTTTTGCCCAATTTCACTTTTGGCCCCTCCTTGTTCCAAAGTGAACAAAATACACCTCAAAGTTCAATTTTAAACAGATTTGATCCCCTCCCTCATGAGTCCAGCCCGTTCATATCTAACCGAAAACACTATTTTGGGGCTACAGTTGAAATTTAAAACTTTTCTAGGACTCGAAAATAATATAGTTTTAACTATTATTATATTTTAAGAGCTATGTATTTAATAGGGCAAATTCCACTTTTCCCCCTTATACTCCGAGTCGAAATCACTTTACTCCATTCTACTCTCGTTGCATCGATCCACCCCCTTATACTTGTAAAATTGTTCCAATGTGATCCTAACGTTAGTTTTCAAACTTTTGACTTTGACACCGTTTGGTCAAAGTGGTGGAAATTACAAAACAACAAAAAAAGATAAAGAAAAAAAAACACCCAAAACATATCCTACAAATCTTCTTTCGCTCTCACTTAAAAACACACTCTCTCTCGTACACAAATGCTTATAATTTTTTGATTATTTCTGCAAATGCTTGAATTTTTTACGAGGTTTGATAAGTGAAGATGATAGTTCAACTGCAGCAAACAAAAGAGCAGATTTTTGTCAAGATATCAATCTTGATCTTCGGATTCGAACTTGTGGATGTGCAAATGAGAAAAATAAACAAGAAAATAAAGAATTTTTTTTCACTACAGCACAGTTTCATGAATTTCGCAGCCAAATACTTGTCTGTTTATAAACTCTGGTTTGTCGTTGTGTAAGTATTATTTGTATATGTGTGTGTTTGTTCTTTTTGTGTTTTGTTGTCATATGAAATGGGTGTATTTTATTTTATTTTATTTTTATCATTTTTTTTGTGGTTTTGTAATTCTGTGAATTGTTAAATTTTATGTTGTTCATCTTGTGGTAAATTAAATGTCTGAAAGAAGATCTCCAAGGATTGTGAACTGTAACTAAAGCATTTGCAGATACAACAAAAAATACGTGGGATTGTATGGAATGAGAGTGTGTTTTTGGGTGAGAGAGAAAGAAGACATGCATATGGTGTTTTAGTAGGGCTTTTTTTGTAATTACTGACTTTGACTAAACACTTTCATGGTCAAAATTTCAAAAATTAACATTAAGGGCCACATCGGAAGTTTTTTACAAGTACAATGGGGTAAACTGATCAGACCCAGAGTAGAAGGGGTGAAGTATAATTTTCCCTATTTAATGTTATGTATTTCCTTATTTTGCAATTATTATAAAAAAATAAAAAAAAAAAAGAAGAAAAAAAATGAATTGGAGCTCTTCCCGTCAAATCCCACAAGAGAATACCTTCATCTTCTTCCCCGACATGCCCAGCCGTCGTCGCCACTATCGGCATTTCTTCGGATATGCTCACCCTCCTTAGACCACCGCCGCCACCAACCCCTCAACTTCTACTATTCTCTTTCAACTTGACTCCAATTTTAATCCTAAAATAAAACACCTTCTCTACAACGGGTTTTTCACATTTTGTACCTTCGAAATACACTATTTTGGCACTTTGCGCCCTTCAATTGCGAAATTGGCAGATTGCACCCTTCAAACATAAATTTCTTGGCACTTTGCACCCCAAGCCACTTTGGCTTAAAAATGTACCGGCAACTTGTTAGGAAAGGGCAAATTTATCATTCTCTTACTATCCTCCCAGCCCAACTCCTTTAATTGTTCCCCATTTTTCATCCCTCTCATTGCCTAGTGCAATCCATGTTAGCTATTATATTAGTGGGTAGTTTATTTCATTATGTATTAGTGGGTAGTTTTATATTAGAACTAATTGCAAATACCTTCCATGTGTAAAAAAACTCACCAACGCCCCTCGTGTAATCAAATTCAAAACTCACAGCATCCTCTATATTTTTAGGCATTGACTAAAAGTGAAATGACACAAATAGTCTACAAGTTTTTCACCCATTAGTAAAATATTTTTTAAAATTTTCTCAACTATGTTATTAATTTAATTCAACCAAATTTTATTAGACAATTATTTTTAATTTTTCTTGATGTGTAGTTATTTTTCATTTTATAAACATTATTTATTAATAATTTTGTAATTATAAAATATAAACAGAAATTAAACATATATTGTTGTATTAAAAGATTTTATATGTTTTATATTTTTTTTATATTAAATTTTAATTTACATTAAAAAATAAGAGAAAAGAAAAAAAAAAAAGAGCAAAAATAACTCTTCATCTTCCCCGCTCCACCCCACCCTACCGACCACCCAAATCAACAGTTCTTCTCCCCACGCACCTGCCCCACCACCGGCTCACCTTTCTTGCACCTCGACCTTCGCGTAGTACAATTCTCCTTCAATTTCACTCTTCCTATGGCAGCCCATATCTGGAATTTGAACAAAGACGGCGACGGCGGCGATTATGTGCAGGAGAAGAAAAATCTTACCTTTACACAACTCTCTCTCGCTAAGAAATGGGTGGTGCCAAACGGCGGCGGTGACTAGGGAGAGAAATTTCAAGGAGTAGATGGGTAGCGGTGGTGCGAGACGGGCCAAAATGCGGCGGTGACGAGGGAGGGAAATTTGAAGGAGTAGGTGGGTGGCGGTGGTGCGAAACAGGCCAGAGAGCGACGGTGGTGCCCGACGATCCAGAAGGCGGCGGTGGTGCTAGACGAGCGAGAAGGCGCGGCGATGCTGAACTTTTTCCGGGCTGGGACGTGGGCAGAGTCGAACGAGGAAGAAGATCTGAAAAAATCTTTAATTTTTGTTTCTTATTGCAATTTTGGAAATTTTAAAATTTACAATTTGGTCCTATAAATTATAGTTATTTATAATTTCACCACTCAGATTTTTTATTTATTTATACAGGGGTATCTATGACATTTCACCCTAGAAATTGCATAAAAATTCGCAGAGCCCGCGAGTGAGAGATACGATTTGCGTTAAGGGGTCTAGATGCATTGACTTTGGTTACACGAGGGGACGTTGGTGAGTTTTTTTTTTGACATGGGATATTTGGCAATTAGAAATTACACAGAGGAGGTATTTGCAATTAGCTCTTTTATATTATGTTAGTGGCTCAGTTATTTAGTTCATGGTGTTAGTTATGTAGTGGATTATTTAACGAGTTAGTGAATTCTTATTTTATGTTTTGTGTATCCCTATATAAAGACTACAGTAGTTCCCTTCATCTCTTTGTGTTTTCATTGTTGTTATCATCTTTCATTTACTATAAATCCAGCCAGTGAAGAACTTGGGCATCGGGGTCTGTCCCAGAAACGACATCGGAAACAATATTCTGAATAATACCTCTGAACACAGTGATCCTACCAGCACCCTGGCACCCAACTGAATCTGAGAAGCAAGTTTTCCGCCATTGAGGCAATCGATCGAACACCTGATGGGTCGCGCATGGAGAAGTAAGGAGAGGTGAGCTGGTTGAGCAACTCACCGGAGGAATGCATCTAGTTCGATCGTCAATGGTGAACCTGAGGGATCTTCTGTGTTTGACATCATGGGTCACAAGAAACCCGACTATCTCAGCGCGTGACAAGAACGTGCCTTTACAAGAGAAAGACGATGGGTCTTTTGGACTCGGGAAACATAAAGGAAATTGAAGGCTTAAAATTTTTACGTCAATGTTGTATAGAGCAACTTCCATTGTTAATCTTAACAAGGAATAAAATTTCGTAATTTTGTTCTTAATTTTTTATTTTTTTACATTTAGGTACAATTACAGAGCGGGAAATTTTGGGGCTGAGAATTAAAGTGGGGGAAGTTTCAATATTTGAAGCTTTAATCTTAAATTATTTTTTGGTCATCTTCTTAAGTTTAGTGTTTTTTGGTTAAAAGGAGGGGATGAAAAATGGGGGACGATTAAAAGGAGTTGGGATAGGAGGATAAAAAGAGAATGACAAACTTTCCCCCATTTCAGATTTTCTAACAAATTGCCCTTAAATGTTTCAAGTCAAAAATAATTTGGGGTGCAAAGTGCCAAGAAATTAATCTTTGACGTGCAATATGGCAATTTCGCAATTTAAGGGTGCAAAGTGTGAAAAGTGTGTCATTTGAGGGTGTAACATGCCAAAAACCTCTCTAAAACTCTCCATTTACTCCCACCTCTCTCCAGCAAACCACTTAAATAACATTTACTACTACAACACTCCTCATAGACTTAAGCTCCGGCTTTTCCATTCGATCTTCGCCACCGACCAGACTTCTCCGCCGCTGCCACCGCCGACCAGTCATCTCCGCCGCTGCCACCGCCGACCAGTCATCTCCGCCGCCGCAGCAGCAGCAGCGGCCGTCTAATTCCGATGCCAGTATAAGGAAGTTGGCCATCGTTATATGCTTTGTAGTTACCGTAGCACTAGCTATTGCGGATCGTGTGCTTTACAAACTCGCCCTTGTTCCAGTGAAGGGATTCGAATCCCTTCTTTCTTGCTTAGCTCACCGCTTACGGATATTTTCTAGTTGTAATCTTTAAGATTATTTAAATTTTGTAAATTATTGAACAAAATTAGGCCAAACTAAGAATTAAGAATGCTTTAAAAATTAGTTTTCTAAGGTAATAGCTTAGTGATTAACAAGTGCCCTCAACCAATGTACTGCAGAATCTCATTTTTCTGGATTTAATTTTCAGTATGGGTACTAGCATAGGCTCTTTTGGTTTATGGATTTTGAAACGAGGAAAATGAAAATGTAAGGAATAAGGAAGTCAAGGAATTTCAAAATCCCAATTATGTTGTTTCCTAAGGGCATCTCCAATAGAGTATGTAAAACGGGTCTCTAAAAACAAAGTTGATCTCCAGTGAGGAGTTCTAAAAAAATAATTTTATGTATTCATTTATAATTTATTTCTTATTATAACTAGATTGTAGCTTAGTTTTGTACATTAAATTTTCGATAGTTAGTTTTTATTTACACTATCTTAAATTTTTAATGTATATCTCACCTAGGAAAAAAAATGAAATTTTTGTTTCGTATTTTCAACAACAAAAATAAATATTTCAAGTAACAAAAATAAAATTTCAACCACAAAAAAAAAAATTTAAGTTTCTTAATTTTTTTTTTAATTTTACCTTGGGACAACTTTAAGTTAGAGTCTTTATATGCAATCCCAAATATAGGAAAATGTTTAGAAACTTTAGGAATAGTCTATATTTTAGAGACTCTTTAGGACCTCCATTGGTGTTGAGAAACATGATGGAGGGGGCCAAATATGTTTAAAATTGAACTTTTGAGGTGTATTTTGTTCACTTTAAACAACGGGGACTGGAAGTGAAATTCGGCAAAACATGAGCGACAAAAAAGTTAATTCTCCCCATGTTCAACCGAAGAAAAAATAATTTATTTAGAATGTTGTTGTATGTTTGATTTTTTGAAAGAAAATAGGCCGAATAATGTTTAAATTACTACAAGTGGTAATAAAAATAGCTATGTATGTTAAATTAGAGAAGAAATAATTTAATTCTTAATGTAAGGACATCTCCAACCATGCATTGACAAAATGGAAAGGTAAAAGTTATAATTTAGCAATTATAGTATTGTTGTACCAAAACTTCATCTCCAAGGGAATTGGTAAAATATAGCACATTTGCTAAAATAAAAATAAAAATAAAAATAAAAATAAAAATTACAACTTAAATCAATAAAGCATCTATAAAAATGAGCATATTTAATGGACCCATGAATGAGAAAATAATATAAAAAGAGTTGAGATATTGAAAGATCTGAAAAGAATACATAGCTAAGAATTAGAGATAATCCTTAAAGTCATTATGGAAAAAGAAAAAAAGAAAAAGAAACCGAAATACCAAAATATTAAAAGTAGCTAGTGAAAAGGATTCATATATATATATATATTGTAGGTAGGTCATTTTTGAGTTGACCTAAATATAGAGCTGTATCCCTTCACCATCATCTTCACTTTCAGAAACAACAAACCCTTTCTTCTTCTTCTTCTTCGTTTTCTTCTTCAACACCTTTTCCTTTTTTCCTGTATGTTACAAACATCATTAATATATATATATTAACACCACCAAATATCCATATATATCCAAATATATATATATATATGGAGCGAGGAGACGACGACAGTGGACAAACCTGATAATGGTCGGAGTCGGCCAAACAAAGTATCATCACTAATGGATTTGTCATCGATGAAACTATCATTAACGTCATATTTGTTTTCATCTTTTTCTCTTTTCTTCCGAATTGAATCTTCCCACGATTCATCACTATACTCTATGTTAAATCCTAGTGGTTCTCTGTTGCCCCTTAAGTCAAGGACGACTGATAATTTTGACGAGGAAAATAACAATTAATAGTACGTAAAAGAAAGAAAAGAAAAAGGAGGAAAAAGGATACGAGTCGTCAGTTTGACGAGACGACGAACGATCGTAGAGATGGTGTCCAAGTAAAAACACACTTCGAGGTCCAACTACACAGAATTTAACATCTTGTTTATTGCTAAATATGAGATCCAAAATTTGGGTTTCGGTCTTATTTGGTATCAATGAACAAATAGAGATTGGCGTCTTCGATCCGTCCACATAGCACTCTACATAACTGTTATCTTTCGAGCTGCCTTTCCCCAGTGTCGCCTATTTCATTCATTCATTCATTCATTCATCAATTATATATACTAAAGCGTACTTGTTACAAGCTACGGAATTAAATTTAATTAATTAATTACCTGTGTGAGTCGGAGACCTGTTTTACCGTCTCCAGGAACACACCTATAATATTCAGAAATTCCTCTTTTCACTTCAACACCTGCATTCAAATTAATATTATTCAAAACAAAATGAAAAATAGAATAAATAAATAAAAGATCATTTAATTTTATATGAAATAGATCAGAGAACAATTAATTAGAAGTTCCTTACTCCAGAAAGACATTGTATTACTTTTGTGCAGTGTGGGAGGTAAGGGAAGAGGCTATTTAAATACACCAAAATCCTCTTCTTCTTCTAATTGTTATGAAAAACCCTCAATATTATTTTATTCGCAAACATCCCCTACCTTTCAACTTTTTATAACAAATTACCCCATAATGACTCACTACTGACCGGATTATATGCTAAAAAAAAGCATAGTGACGGGGGTTTTGATCATATTACATTAAACATTTAAAAGGTAATGTCTTATATTAGAAGATTTTCTTTTAGCTTGTTTCTCTTTAATTTATTATACTTCAACGTGATATTAAGGATAATTAAGTAATTAAAAATCTTGAAAAATAGCAATACATATATATATTTTAATCAAAGATTTATTACCAAAAGCAATGGTCAATTATGTCCGTTATATGTAGTCATCATACGCTAAATTCACGTATAAATATTTGTTACCAAAATCACGGCTCAATTAAATATAACTTTACCTTACTTAAAGATCGTACCTACACAAATGAATATTTATATATATATGAACTTATATTACTTATTTTTGGCAGCTCCGGTATATATGATATTTAAATATTTGTTTCATAATTGAAATGATATTCGCTGAGTACATGTGTTTGAAAAGAAAAAAAGAATATTTCCTAAATATTAACATATTGTATATATGATCTTCATTACTAAATGCAAGATTATGCCTCTAATCTAAATCAAGAATATTAAAGATTAGAATCATCATTCAATGATAATAATTTTGAATATTTAGAGATAATATTATAAGAAGATTGTATTCGAGATTTGGGGTGTAGTTAGGTGGGTCGCAATATTTTTAGATCATATTATTCGTTTCATACTTATAGATATTATTCAAATTAATATTGTAAATTAAGATTTTTAAAATATTATATTGATTTTCTATATTAGACGAAAATTAAATGTTAACTGGAAAATATTTATGAAAGTCAAAATCTTAAACTCTTCATTGATTTCCTTTTAATATATTATATCCCAAAATCATGGAACAATTAGTCAAATTAAATTATGATTAACGACTTATCTAATGTGTTACTAATTGAAGTTTTGATATCTTATGTGTGAGAGTTTGAGTGAATTTTAATTAACATAAATAAATTTGGTGGAACTATTTTTTCGGTTGGGGCAGAAGAGTCTAATGGGTGAACCTACAAGCTAGGGTTTACAGGAGTTTAGAGAAAAATATTTTGTAAGGAAATTCGCAAAAATAATAAAAATAAATCAAATACTTGTGAAAGAAAAATCCTGTACAGTGGAAAAATCAGATGGTGAAAAAAAAAAAAAAAAAAAACAATATATTTGTCTTAAGTTTGAAATGCTAACAATTGGAAACATCCAAAAAGTAAGATGGCCAATTGCACAATATTAGTTTTGTAGGGCCTCAATATTTAAAAAGGTCAATATATACTCCATATTTAAAAAGAGTCCAACTGTATATAATTAATTAGTAATCGTATGTAATAATAATAATGATGAACATTCAGTATTGGTAGCAGTAAAAACATATACTGCATATGCAATATACAATAATATAAGAAAATATTTATTAAGAAAGATAGTAGCTTAGCTAGAGCATCCAGGGCAAATTATTAATAGAGAACAAAACAAATGTGTGATGAATATTTATTTTTACTTCCCAAATATCGAAAACATGTATCCAGCTTCGACGTTGGAATCAACATCATTTTTCTTTTTCTCCTCCTCCTCCTTCTTCTTCTTCTTCTTGTCCGTGAAATTTTCTGTTAAGTACAT